CGATCTTTGTAGGCAGCCTCGCAGACAACAGGTTTTGGAAGGCAAGTCTTCTGGCAGGTTGGACAGTAGAAGAAGGACACAAAGAGAGTCCAGTTTAAAATAAGAGCCAATCAAAAGGGCAATCAATCTACTCTCAAGTGGGAGAGGATCACTGCCAACCAGGGGTCATTTCCTGCAGGAGCGCACAGGAATGGAGCTCCGGCAGTAAAGAGCCCAGGGGGCGGGCACATGCAACAAGCCCCACCCCCTGCTCCCAGCAGCCCTCAGAGCAAGAAGCAGCCAGGTAAGTTGCAGACCTCCCCCCGGCCCCCCAGTCCAAAACAGTCCAGTGTCCTTTAAGGCCAAGTTTTATTCAGGTACAAGCTCTCCCTCCTCTGGGAGGACAGATCTGCACGTTCCTCCCCCCACCCCTCCCAATAGCTAGTCATCCAAAACAGTCCAGTGGAGCCTGAGCGGTGGGGGTTGCCTTCTGACACACTTCCGGTGATGTCAGGGGGTGTGGCATATGCAAATGAGTTATGCTAATGAGCTCCCGCACCTCTTTTTCTACGAAATGACCCCTGCTGCCAACAGTCCGTAAGTTATATTGTTTGATCTGCGTACTGGGGCTGTTGTTCAGAATGAGGTACAAGGATCACCATGCTTTACAGTGTCTGAGAAAGCTGGTTCTGCCCTAAAGGGCTTGCAGTCTAAACTGTGATGAAAGGGAAGGGAAACGCCTAGAAGTGGGGAGAAAGGAGGAGGAAATGCATTCATTTCAGTCGTATAATCTTAGTTTCAGTAGGAGAGAGGGTGTGTGTGGCTGTGTGTCCAAGGCTTTATGGAAAAACTGGATTTGAGGAAGGAATTTTAGAGGAGATGGTGTCACACAAGCACACTGGGAGGCAATTCCAGGACAGTGTGAGTAGTGGGGAGAGAGAAATTGAAGCAACTGGACTGGACTGTTGTACAAAATGAGTTCTGGTGTTTCATGTATCTGTTCAGTCAAATGTCTGTATTAATTAAACAAATGAACCAAGAAAGAGCAGAACTGCTAAGCAGCTCACCCATATAAAAGCACAGCTAAGAGTGTGATGAAATAATCCTAGAGTTTTTTTAAAAAATTGTTAACTCTCATGGCTCAGTTTCTGTAGTAACAGAACTATTCCATTTTCTTATCTCCTTTAAAAAAATTGCTTGAAGAACCTCTCTGTGTGCTTACAGGATGTTGTCAATATAGTACAACTTGGAAGAAGGCTCGTTGCAGGCATGAATGCAACGGACGCTAGCGTGGGTGGGCGGCCGCAGCCCCCTCCCCCAGCGGCGTGAGTCCCCCTCCCACGAAGACGGGCAGGGTCCCTCCACCGTCTGCTGCGCAGGGAGATTGAGCAAGCCAGGGAAGGGGAGGCAGCGTAAACTGGTGGTCGCCGGGGCTGAGAAGGAAGGGGGGGGGTTTAAACTGCCTCCCCCTCGAGCGGCTTGCCCCCCCCCCCCCCGCGGCAGGCCGCAGCGACCCCAGGAAGCGCGGCGTGGCCTTCCCCCCCATCCCGAGGTGAGACGGGGCACACCGTCAGGGTGGCGAAGCCATGGGTAGCACCGGGAACCCCGACAGAAACTGCCCGTGGCATCCCCAGGCCAGGCCGCGGCGACCCCAGGAAGCACAGCGTGGCCTTCCCCCCCATCCCAAGGTGAGGCGGGGTGCACCATCGGGGTGGCGAAGCCAGGGGCAGCACCGGGAACCCCGGCAGAGCCCCCCCTGCAGAAGTGCCCGTGGCATCCCTGGGCCAGGGTGCTGCGGCACAGGGAAGTGCGGTGTGGCCATTCCCTTCTCTCCCTGCCAACCGGATGCCACTGGCGCCACCGGTTGGACCTGTCCCCAGTTTGCAAGGGTCTGGCCAGCCTCGTCCCTCCTCCCCACCCAGCCAGTGATTCTCGGTTCTGCAGGCTGAGGAAGGCCACATGGTCAACTGGGCCTGTGGAGGCCTTCCCCCAGCTTACCCTGCAGACAGTCCCATCCTGGCCGAGGACTGGAGCAGAGTGAACTGAAGATGCTGGCTGGGGCTGACGTGGGCTGGACTCCACAACGCGGGCGAGTGAGGGAGTCCTTCTTGGGCCTGTGGGCCGAGCCACCCTCCACCGGCGCCATGATTCCCTCTCGGTTCTGCAGGCCGAGGAAGGCCACATGGTCGGCTGGGCCTGTGGAGGCCTTCCCCTGGCTTACCCTGCAGACGGTCCTGTCCTGTCCGAGGACCAGAGCAGAGTGAGCCGAAGACACTGGCCGGGGCTGACGTGGGCAGGACTCCACAAAGCAGCCAGCCAACCCAGCCAGCGTCTTCTGAGTGGCAGTTCATGCGGCCAACCTATTTTGGCGCGCATCGAATGTTGGGAGACGAAAACACAATTATATATAAGGAGAGATATTGTACTGTACTGTATTGTATTGTACCGCAGTTCCCTGTAAACAGGGCTCAGGGCAGTGTACAACGGCAAATAAAACAACCAGATTCATACTAATTTGAATTTAAAACATTAACATTACAATAAAATTACAGTAATCAGTTTAAGTAGATGGCGGTTGAAATGTCTAATTGCGCCACCGCCTTGCGGAGGAGAGGCCAGAGGTGAGAGGGCCACAGCCAGATGGATGTCAGGTGGATATCCTCCGCCAAAGGCCTGGCGGAACATCTCTGCCTTACGGGCCCTGCGGAACTGCCTTATATATTGCAGAACCAATACATAGGTGTTCACTGACCTATTTCTCTCTACTTTCCCCACAAATAATGAATTTCAATGCATCCTTGGTTATGAAACGGAAGATCTAATATAAACAATGAAATCTCAGACTACTTCGTGCATTTTATATATAGTTAGTTTTTTGTTTGTTGTCATTTAAGAAGGTTAAGCCTCTGAGCACTTAATGTTTATTCCGATCTCCCAAATCCAAGCTGAGAAAATTAGTCTACCTTTCTTTAATGAAAGATTATTCTTTACCCTCTGGGTTTGTCTCCGTATTTCCCTTTGCTCACGTTAGTACAGTAATTTAAGTGCTATCCAGGAGAGTTTGGAATTATGGGGAAAGAAGGATGTTTACTACAATAGTCACTTGCATAAAGGCCAGCAAGGCATCTGGCTGTGGGCTTGCGATCCTGTTCTGGGTAAGCTGAAGATTTGTAGCCATCTGAGGCCACAGAATGAGA